ACAGCTTAGCGATCCCACGTATCTATTTACCCTATCTTATAAATATTATAACAATAACTAACCACCTATTGTTGTCCTTATCTTACATCAATTCATCTGTCGTTTGCTATTGCTGATCTAATATCGACACCCACTTACTGACGCTCTCCCGAATCGATAGTAACAACGTTTTGTTTACAAAAAATAACACCCTGAAAATATCACACGATGTCGTGCTTAGTGTCATGGTTGTTTCGGCTTCACTAATAAATTTCACCCGCTTGGTTATACACCGAATTGGAGTACCGTCTAGGTAATTCACTAACTCGTCACCTTCAAGATTTCTGTAACGACGGCCACTTAGTATATTGATAAAATAGTTTTTCCAGAGCCAAGACTTGCATTTATTATGGTGGTAGAATTCAAAAATGGAAATTTTAACAATGAAAATAAATAGTAAATATTGTTACAATAACCATTTTTGAATTGTATCACCATCTATATCATTTCCCTTATATATGTTATACATCACTTTGGAATTTCTGTTAATCTCGAATTGGCATAAGTCACTTTGGAATCATAATTTGACATATATTATATCATGATCGGTATGTCATCAACGATTACGATACCGAATAAAAAAAAAATAAAAAATAAAAAATAAAAAAAATAATAATAATAAAAATAAAAATAAAAATAAATAAAAATAAAAATAAAAATACGAATACGAATGTAAAAAATAAGCAGCATGATACATGATATTTTTTATTTGAATATTTATTCCAGCGCTCCATGGTTAATAACCATTTTTTTTAATAGTTTATGGTGAAATTAAGCAAACTCAATTTACAATAATTGAATTCTATCTAACGACAATAAATTGCTAGTAATTCTAAGTTCATATTACCGTTAATGATTGTTGCATTCACCTCTCAATACACAGCCGCAATGCCTAGTACAAAGCAAATTATTCTTACGGCATGAACAGCTCTTGGTCTTACAGTTTGTTTTCCTGCAAAGGCAGCCATTGCGTCGAGATGTTGTGTTTCTTGTTTGTCCAGTTGTTTCTTGAATTATTGAATTATTTTTAACTATATGTAGTGGCCGTGTCAAACTTTGCTGTGCCGCAGCATTTCTCGGAGAGATGAAAGTGCCAAGAGGAATAATGTCAAGTGCAGGATATTCGTTAGTACCCAATGGTTCTAATTCATTAGCTGAATACCACTTATCTAAAACTCCAAATTCGCACCCAACCTGATAAGAATCAAGGTTGGGCTTTTTTTGTATAACCTTACAAGGCAATGCATGTCGATCTATTTTTCGTTTATCAATATCAGGTATTCGAATCTTCACAAGATCACCTGAATTTAAAGTTAATGTGCGTTTTGTTTTATGCCGTTTTTCCATTATGCTGCTAATGAATTGACGATTTTTCTTAACATGTTGAATTGCTATGTCTCTTAAAGGTTTGTGGTGATTAAAACTTGCTCGGGTTGAACTTTCACTTGATGAATAACATGCTCGGATTGAATTTTCACTTGATGAATAACTTGCTTGAGATGCAATTGGTGTATCACTTGTTGACATTTCTTCACATGATGTGTCTGTATAGCTTGCTTGAGACATACTTTCTAGCATTGTATCATCGTGATCATTCTCTAAGTCTGTAGCATCGAATTGATATAGTGAATTCTAAAAAAATTATTATATAGTTATAATATATGTTGAAAAAAGAGATAAATAATTACAAATATTAATAAATTAAAATATAAATTATACATTACTTGTTCTAAATTTATACTATTGTAATTATTAGAGTCTGATGACCATTTTTCTTTTACTTCTCAAGAATATTGTAGATTTTCATCATCAGACTCTAAATTTTCTTTGTCACTATCATCAATTACAATTACTTCGATATTTTTAATTAGTGAAGAACTTTGATCTAAAATAATATAGGGTAAATAGATACGTGGGATCGCTAAGCTGTCTTAACGATAGGAGTATCGGGATGTATGTACGATGTATAATA